GCCGTGGATGCAAAGGGGGGAATGGGTCAGAGTTGCAATTGAAGTGCCTCCCTGGTTCTCCCTTAGCCCAGCATCCCTCAGCCTTTCCTTCCACAATGTTTTCTTTCTTCAGCACCATGTTTTGGTCTTGCATTGCTCATCCCTCTCCCTGGGCTGGGACCAAAACACGCTGAGGTGTCACCACAGACCTTGGCAAGCTCTGGGTCTGCACTTGAGTCCTGAGAGCTTTTTCTGCCTTGGCCTGTGTGTCCCTAAGATAACAGCAGATGTGTCTCTGCTCCTCTGGCTGTCCTCCCCTCCTCTTTTCTTTATGCAGAAAGGAACAGAAACTTGAACAAGCCTCCCTGCTCCTGTGCCACATCCTGAACTCCCATGGTGGCAGGGCAGGGTCTCCCAGTGCTCCCCCTTGCCTGAACAGCCCCTGCTCCCTGCATCTGTGCCTTGACTCGCTGGGATACACATGCAGAATAGTCTGGACCCAGTTGCATGCCCACCCTTCACCCACCCCTACAGCACTGTGACACAGAAAGAGGGAAAAGTGTGGAAAGGTCAGTGCAAAGAAAGGTAGAAAAGAGGTAGAAAATCTCTCCTGAATAGGAGAGGTTCTTCCTATGCCTCAGGTCAAAGGCACAGCCCGTTGAGCTGTGTGAATGAGCTGGTGTTTTCCTTCCTCCAGATTGTATCTGCCTTGTGCATGTCAATGTATGTATCTGCTATTGTTCTGAAGGTGAGTCCCTCCCAGTTGTTTTGATGAAAGTCATCGCACTTAACACACAGAAATGCCTCTGCTACTTCTCCTCACCCTTGTCCTCAAGTGCCAGAATCAGCCAGGAACAACATCTTCCCTTTTTAGCAAAGCCAGAGGAGGTCCTTGTTGGACTCTGACTGTTCCTGTGGCTGGTTGGCATGCTAGAGCTCACAGCAAGTAGCCCAGCCTCACTTTACACTGTGCAGCACTCTTAGATTCACGAGCTGTGACATCAGCAAAGGTGTCAAATAAAGTCTTTCAAACCCCTGTCCTGGTTGTGAAATGTAGTGTTGATGTGAATCTGTTCTCCTCATCCAGCCTGATTGGATCACAGAATGGTTTGGGTTGGAAGTCACCTGTGAAGGTCATCAAGGACTAGTTTTGTGGCAGGTAAGTGTACCTGAAAAGCTTCCAAAACAGGTAAGATGTAGCTTGTAGGGTGACATCTCTGCTTGTTTTATAGCTACTGCTCTTGATGATTCTGCTCACAAGGACTTTTCGCTTTGCAAACCACTATGTGAATCCAAACCAGCTCTGATAGTCAGGAATGTTTGCCCTGAGATTGGCAATAATCTGTCATTGGAGAACAAATCATTTCATTTAGCTCCAAGGGTCTTCAAAAATGTCAGGGAACAGATGGGGTGCAGCAGAGCCTTACAGCCAGACACTGAGGGCTGCCTCAGCCTCCTGACCCTGTGCAGTCAGGACCAGAATAACCCCTGTGGCATCTCACTGTCGGGAAACACTTTGGACTAAACAAAGAGCCACAGCTGAGAGCTTGTCTCTGTTTTGAGGAAAGGACCAGTAAATGATCCTTCTCGTGAAAAGATGCTGAGAGAATTTTCTGGGGAATGGTGGGAATTCAACTTCCTTTCCCATAACTCCTTCTCACTCCAAAATGCCTTTCAAAACCGCTCATAAATCCCTTCCTTAAGTGCTGTGTGGGGAATTGCTGGAAGGGAGCAACTGCAGCTGGGATGGAGTAATGCAGCATCCGTCTGGAATCGGGGAGAAACTTCAAGAGCAATAATGGAGCTATTGATGATGGGTCATCCCACTGCTGCCTGGGCTGCCCTGACCCGGCTGGAGGCGGTGGGAGCTCACTGCTCTTGGTGTGGCCTCGACCAGAGAGAAGAACCAAATTACCCTCCGTGGGAGGCAAGCATACAAACCGGCCCCGCGGGCTACAGTGGTAAAACAAAACAGAGACAGTGGAGAAAAAAAAAAATAATGCTTCCTGATCTCTCTGTGGATCAAACAAGAGTTGGAGCGGGTGGGAGGGCATCGGTTCAAGCCCGTGGGGTTTTCTCCCCACAGCAGTGTGGTGATTAGAGCAGTAGCTCGGGACTGGAGCTTTGGGTTTTTTCCCAGGGTTTTCTCTCCTCTCAAGCATCCTGGCAACTTTTGATCTACCCTGCAGGGGAAATCCCCAAACTCTCTTCATCCCTGTTCTTTGGGCAAAAGAACATGGTGAAGAGGTTTGGGGAGATGTGGGTTGGCGTTGCTCGATGGCATGCAGTGATGTTAAGACACAGCGCTGGCTCCAAGCTTGGTGAGGCTGGAACAAAATGTGGTCCTGATGAATGAGCCTTCCCTACTGCTCAGAGGGGACAAAGCCCCTTCCAGGCTGTGGGAGATTTGCTGTACAGCACCTGCTCCCCCAAATTCCACCGCATGTTGCATTTTCCCTGCATGAAAAACGTGGCTTATCTCAGTTGTGCTGTTGCCTGCCCTGGGTGAACAGTTCTTTCTGCTCGTGGTGCAATCCCGGCCTGCCATCTGCTGGTAAAATCCCAAAGCTGAGGAGGAGAAATCCTAAACCAGGGTCAGCATTTGGCTGGAAACATCTGTGCTGAAAAATGGATGATCTTTTATCATGACCATCAGTGACTGAGGGACCGCTCAGACTCACTGGAAGAGCAGCTTGAGAGGCCTCTGGGTGATTGATGGGGCTCCCACCAGCATCATCAATGGGGATGGGTTGGTGAGATAAAGATGTTAACAGATGTCACCTTTGCTCCAGGCACTGCTGAAGGTCCTGAGAGGGTGAACTGGAAGGATCTCAGGTATCCTTAGTCACTAGGAGCAGCTGCTAAGGGCACCAAGAGCAGTGGGGGCCCTGGGGCAGCTCTGGACCCTTGTGGGCAGAGGGTACCCCCAGCCCATCAGTTTGTGTTGGGAGTAAAAGGAGGACACAGAACTGTGGTTTCCTGCATGGAATCCCCTGGGAGGGAACACAAATGTCACTAAATATGTTTCAAATCAAATCCATTTGCAGCGTAGCCACAGCGGCTGCTGCAGCCAAAGGGCGTTTTTTGTGGAAACATGTTCTTCAAGCTCTGCTGTGTTTTGACTTTAGCTGTCAAAGCAGGAGCTGAGCCCTTCCACAGCCAGACTCAGCCCGTGGTTTCCCAGCTGAGGAGGTGCTGGCTGCAGAAGACTGAGCACGACACAGCACCGAGTGTGATCCCACCAGTGTGGCCTCCCAGCACAATCAGCTGTTGGGAGGATGGTGATGAGCTCAGGAGGGTGATTGGTGCCTTTAGAAAACAATTAGGACTGCAAATATTGCAAATGATTACAATTCACTTTGCTATCATTAGCTTTGATTCTGCTACTCCTGATTACTCCACTGTAATGAAGGAAAAGGTATCACATCCCATTTTTATGACAACATCGTATCCCACTTTTAAAGCAAATTAAAGGCAATTTAACGTAGGATTGAAAAATCACAATGCTCAGCTATCAGCCCCTAGAGACTATCTTAGTCCCTCTTAACAGGACATCCGTGGAGCCTGAAGGTCACTGATGAATCAGTGAATCCTCACGCTCTGCTGAAGATGCTGGAAATAGATAATTACGGGTCTCCCTGGAGCTGAATCTCGTGAGCGTGAAGCCATGGGACAGCAGAAGGGAGTGAATCCTTCCCTTGTTCCAGTGGCTTTCCTCTGTATTCAGAGCTGTACAACCCTCACCCTGGGAGAGGGACTGACAGCTCCCTTCCATGGGGAGATGTCGAGGACCCTTGGTCCTGCTCCAGGGTGACCCATGATGTGAGCTGGCACAGCACCAAGGCTGCTGCAGGAACTTGCACTTATTTAAGGAAAAATTATACACTGAAGAGGGAGAGATTGTGGGAAGAGCTCCAGCTACAGCCACTCTTCATCCCACTGCCTGTGACATCTCCAAAATCACAGTTTGGAGCAGCCAGAGGAATTATTTGCTCTCCTGGTCCATTCCTTGTCCTGCTCCTTGCCCCAGTACCAACCCCACGGTCTTGCTCTGGTTTTCCTGGGTTCCTTGTGCTTTTGTGTCGGGATGAGCTGCCCCATGAGACATGTGC